TGGGATCATGACCTGAGCTGAAGGCAGACGCTTAATGACTGAGCAACCCAGGCACCCCAAACAATAGATTTTAGATTAATAACTAAAATAGCATGAAACAGTACTGATTTATTAGGTTTAAAAAAAGGCAGGTTGAAATAAATATATTCATAGAAAAAAAGACTGAAAATACTAATTATTCTCCCTTCATTGTAGGCTCATGATGTATGTGTGTGGGTTTTTTTTGTTGTTGTTGTTGTTGTTGTTGTTTTAAGATTTTATCTGTTTATTTCAGGGAGCATGAGGGGTGGGGAGGGTGAGAGGGAGAAGCGGACTTTAAGTCTTTTCAAAGGAAAAAACATTCTGGAGTTGAGTCACGCACCAGGCTCCTTGCTTGGCAAGAAGCCTGCTTCTCCACCTGCTTGTGCACTTCTGCTCTCTTTGACAAATAGGTAAAATCTTAAAACAAAACAAAACAAAAAATCCCCAAAACAGCATTTTAATATTTTCTTGAAGAATTCCATTTTTAGATACGTTTTCCTTTTTTCGCATTTTAAAAGTTATAACACATTTAGAGACTTTGGAATATTCAATAACATACAATTTAAAAAACACGTATTATGGGATGCCTGGGTGGTTCAGTAGGTTAAGCATCTGCCTCCTGGGATCATGACCTGAGCCAAAGGCAGATGCTTAACCTACTGAGCCTCCCAGGCACCCCAGGATGTTTTTTCTTCCCCTTAGAAAAGGCTTAAAATGGTTTAAGAAAAAAAAAATGTTTTAAAGTTTAAAAAATATACTACATAAGAGATTTAAAATTAAGAAATATGCTTACCAAACAAATTAGTAATTTATTAGGTTAAATATATGGAATAGTTTCTCAAGCAGATTCTTGCTTTAAATCCAAATGCAATGACTTAATGCAGAGGCATGATGTGTTTCTTAGGGTACTTGACAGCAAGCTTGGTTCTAAGTAACAGGTGGAAGTTAGAATAGGTAGGCAGGCACAGAGATAGAGGATGATGCTGCTTGAGCCCCAGGGTATAGGGCACTCAACAATAAAGGCAATGGAACATTCAGATTACCTCGCATATAATTCCCTAAACAGAAAATAAAAAATAAAAAGTAAATAATTCCCTAAACAAATTGTTACGAGCTAAACTTTGTATGTTGAGGTTTCAACTCCTAAATCCTTGGAATGGGACTATTTGGAAAAAAGGACTTTAAAGAGGTAATTAAGGTTAAATGAAGTTATTAGGGTGGGTCCTAATCCAATAGGACTTTTAAGAATAGGAAATGAGCTCACAGACACAGGGAGGAGTCCATCTACAAAGCAAGGAGGCCTCAGGTGAAACCAATCCTGCCAACATCTTGATCTCAGACCTCCAGCCTCCAGAATTGTAGGAAAATAAATTTCTGATGGTTAAGCCAGTCTGTGATACTTTTTTATGGCAGCCCTAGCAAAATGATATACAGATACAACTGTGAAAATTAAATTTCAGGTTCTGGCACCAAAAGAGATTTAGGACAAACACATAGAAGGAATCTTACATAGTTTTATGTATAGACTGTGATCTTCCTATAGAACTGTAAATCACTAGCTATTTTAAGGAAATCAAACTTTAATAATCTTGTCAATAATTTACTGTTAACTTTCCTCTAATTTTAATAACTGTATATGCTATACAAATATAAAATACTATTTAAATTTCATTTGTATTTGTTACTTTATCTGATCCTTACAACCTTTTCTATGAAACAAATAAAAACCAAACCCTCTAGTCCCAGTCACAGATCTTTGCACTATACCCCAGTATTTTCCAAAATATTTGTAAGGCTCCCCATTTTAGTAAGAACAGAGATAAAGTTTATATCTATATTTATCATAAAGCCTTAGTATTTTAACAGTAGGAAGGATAATCTGAATCTAAAGAAAAGAATATCTTAAAAAAAAAAAAAGCCAACATTTCCTGAGAATTTACTGTGTCAGGCAGTTCTAAGCACTTTACATGAATTAACTCGACCCTAATAACCCTCTGAGATCGTAACTGCAACAATCTCTATTTCAGAGACCTAGAAACTGATGAGATTATCCAAGTTAATAAATAAAGGAACCCAGGAAAAGACTGACTTCAATGCCCACATTCTGAACTGCCACCCAATGAAGTATAAAGAGGGCACTATTGAGCATAAATCTTAATGGCTTTGGAGGCAGGCAGATTTAAGTTTGAATAGAGGTTCTGCCACTTATTAGGGGTATGACTTTGGGCAAACTTAAGCTGTTTGTACCTTAGAGTCCTCAGCTCTATAATGGAGGTAAATAAGACAATGGATGTAAAAGCATTTAGTACAGTGTCTGGCACATAATGTCTAACTATTAAGCCCTTACCCTTCTAATCTACTTTCATGAATATACAAGGAGAATAGGAGAATCCAACAATGTTTAATTTGAGGACTCCAAGCAAAAATATCAAAAGGTTCTCCTGAGACACCTAGGTGGCTCAGTTGGTTAAGTGTCCAACTCTTGGTTTTGGCTCAGGTCATGATCTCAAGGTCGAGGGACTGAGCCCTACATAGGCCTCTGCACTGGGCATTACAGCCTGCTTGGGATTTTTGCTCTCCCTCACCCTTTGCCCCTCCCCCACATGTGTGTATGCAGTGCATGCACTCACGCTCTCTCCCCCCTCAAAAGAAAAAAAATTATCAAAAACTTTTTTTATCCATACTTATTTCCTTCCTACATTCCAGAAATGCATGTCATTAATCTTATTTCCCCTAAGAAAACATATTAAATCAGATTAGTAGTTAGATCAGTTTTACATGGTCTCCCATAGAACATCTAATAACTTCTATAAGGACAAGTATGGTTACAACTTTAAAACATTCTGGATGTTGCTCAAACATCTAATATTTAATAAAAATTCGCCAATATACTTATCTTAACCTTTACTGAATTCTTAAAAAAATATTAAGTTTGTAATGTCTCTTGGGATTACAAGGTAACCATCTGTTTGCTCTTATTTGAACTTCTACTACTTATTTTAAGCTTCAGAGTCCTTAGTACTCTCACTCCAGGATTTATATGGTTACATCACATTCTCCTTCAATCTCCATTTTCCCAGAAAATACTGCTTTTGTAGTCATGTGGAAGTCTCTCCATTTTCTTCTTCTACTTATAACAGAATTTCTTTTGACCTTTTCCATTTTAAGAAGCATCTTTCTTGAGAAGATTTAGTGGGAAGAACACTGGGCTGGGAGCCAGGGGTCCTCACCTCTGCCATCTCATCTCTTTATCTGAAAGATGAGAGGACTGCACTAAATAAATTTGTAATAGCTTTCCTTATATCTCTAAGCTTCATATTTCCATGATTCTGGGTCTTCCTGCTAGAAGTCATTCAGCATTCCAACAACTTTCCTCAACTTTTTACTCCAGTTAGCCAAAGAGGGGCAGGCATGTTCAAATTCAGGGGCAGGAGGAAAACACAATAATCAGGAAGTCTGGAGTTATAGAAGGAAATTGTGAACCAATTAGAAGAAGATTAATAAGAGATATAAGACAAAAAAGAGGTCAAAAACAGAAGTCAAACAGCCTAACTCTAACCTCATGCCTACATATCTATTTAAGAGGAACTAAGAGAAAAAGCTTTCAGCAGTAGAGGTTACACAGTCCTCATTTCCAGCTCAAGGGAGCAATGCAACTGTGTGCCATCTTCGCAATGTTGTTGCTAAAGCGGCCCCCTACAGGCTTTGCACAAAATAGGCGTTACTGGGTTTAATGACTGAATTAGAGTTCAGCTGAACTGAAAGCTCTCATAAACGCTACCAGTACTGCTAGGTACCATGAAATCTGAGGACTCAAGTGAAATTACATGCCATTGGCGGTCCTGGTTTTCAAGGGAAGACTGAAACTGAGTCAGATGGGATGCCAAGATGTGGCCTGATGGCACTGCTTAAATTCTGAGGATGCTAGAAGCAGCCCCAGAAGGAACAAGTACAGATTAGTAGACACAGGCTATCTCTAACCCACCAAGGCAATATCAGAATATGTATGAAAGTCATTTCCTACCCTGGTGTCAGAGTCCAAGAAAGCACTAGCTTAAGTTTCCCTCTGTAGAGGCTGGTTTCTTGGCTTGTGACTGGTTGGAAGGGAGGGGAGAGTAAATCAACAAAGGGATGAGGGAGGTGGGCAGTTCTCAAGATTCCCAGGCCAGCCTTATGGTGGTGTTTCTCAAAGTGGTATACCACACCAAGGATGGGGGTGCCTGCTTAAGATGCAGTTTCAGGGACTCATCACAGATCTCTAGAATCAAATTTCTGGGAGTGGTACTCGCATTTTTAAAGAGTAAATTTACATTTGAGAACTACTGTCCCAGAATGGGGGTGGGGGATGGGAGGTGGGGATGGGGTACGGATGGGGATAGGAACTAAGGTGAGGTTCTTTTGACTCTGGATTCATTACATATGACTACACTACTTTGCTTTGGGGACCATTAAAAAAAAAAAAAAACCTCAATTTCTCAGGTAAAACCTGAGCGAGTCCTCTAACAGTTCACAGGGGCACAATGAAAGGACCTGGAAAATGCATTTTCATGAACTGGTTAAAGAGTTCCTCCACGGCCTTGTCTACCATGTTTGTTTGTTCACTGGCTTCACTGCTTTATTTAAAAATAAACCGCCCCAACCCAGGAATTTTCAGAAAGAATCACAAACTCCGAAATATAAGAGGTTTTTGTTTGGGGGTTGGAGTTTTGTTTGTTTGTTTGTTTTGGGGTGTGTGTGTGTTGATAGTGCAGAACCAGGCTTGTAAACCTGAAGTCACTGCCTGCTATAAAAAGTAGGATTTCACTCAAAAGAAAAGATCCCCGGTTAAGGCTCTACCCAGCTCTTCTGCACTCGGAGCTTCTAATGAAAGCCAGTAATTTGTGGGTGGCAGAGAAAGGAGACTCTGAAGGAGGGGTGGGGAGTGAGCAAGACGCACTCTCCGCTCCAGACAGAGTTTGACAAGAAGTCCCACCAACTATCTGATTTTTAATGAGTCCCATTAGCTGCCAGGAAAAAACCGCGTCTGCAAAAGCGTTATCAAGAGACATTCGGCGCTACCGTCCTCACCCTGCTGGCGGGATGAAAACACCCCAGGCCTGCAGAAAACAGTCAAGTTACTCTTTAGCTGTCCCCGCGACTGCGTTTACGATTTCCATATAAGGCGACACCCCTTTCCCGGATTCTAAGACTTTATCCTCAACACGAAAACGGGCCGCCGAAACCCACTTGCGGACATTTTTCCTCGCGATGATTTCAGTCCCGCGGCCTTACAACTGGGGTCCGACCTGGCGGGCGCCCGCCCCAGCGGCAGCCGGAGGAGACGGCCCCCCCAGCCCTCACGCCCCCCGACACAAAGGCATAGCCCGGGCCCTGTCCGCCACCACACTCGCCCTACCGGGCCCCGAGCCACACTTACCTGACGCTCCCCGCCGCGCTCTCGCGCTCGGGGCCCGAACCCGCCCGGGAGGCGCGCGCACTTGGCGCCGCGAGAAGCCGCCGTGCCGCAGCGGCGCGCGCCCCCCGCCCTGGCCGGCGCGGCCACGCGGCTGAGTCACCCGGAGCTTCACATTAAAAGTCCCCTCGGCGCGCGGGGCACGCCGGGAAGGCCAGGCACCGGGCCCGCCGCCTGGGGCGGCCGTTGGTAGGTAACCTCAGTCTTTCCCTCCACGCCTACGGGTCCTGATGGAGGACGTGCTCGCACCTGCACTGCGGGGGTGGATTCTGTTTCTGAGCTGAGGATGCCCCCTTTTCAATTATTAAAGGTATAAAACGGAACGTTAGTAGCTACCGGAGTTGTAAAATAATCTTGCGCAGCCCCAGGACAGCTAATGCTTAAATGACATTGTGGAGCCTCCTTGTCTTCACGCATTTGGGGCAGAGGGTATGTAGTAAGAATGACGGAGTTCCTTAAACACGTTTTGCTTAGAAGCCCCTATCCTGGGTATGCATTCTGACCAAAGAAGAAAAAAAAATCCTCATTTTTCTCAAACTTTGAATTAATGAAACCACATGGTATATATAGCAAACAAAGTTGAATTGAAAATTTTAAATCAATCGAAAGCAAAGTATTGGAAAATTGGCTGTGTTACGAGTAAAATATTTCAACAGTCAAAAAATATTAACGTACGGTCAATGTCCTATAAATTGAGGGCTGAAAACATAAAGGAAGGAAATAATATCAGTCCTTATTGTCCTGATTTCTAGGGATTTTTGTATTTTTAAAAGTTAGTAAGTTATACTTACTATGCAAACAGTTTTATTTTAAAATTGCTGAAAACTGGGGCAGTTGGGTGGCTCAGTGGGTTAAGCATGGGACTCAGTTTCTGCTCAGGTCTTGGGATAGAGCTGGAGTAGCGCTCCCCGCTGAGGGGGAAGGCTACTTGACTTCCCTTTACTCCTCCCTCACCCTCTCATAAATAAAAAATCTTAAAAAAAAAAATAAAATTGTTGAAAACTATGTAAATTAATAGCATGATTTCTTAAATGCTGAGTCAACTTTTTTTTTTTCCCCTTACAAAAGTCTCTAGAAACGAATTTGAGGCCAAAGATTAGGATTAGAGTTGAAGTGGTAGGAATATGAGAAAATTGTTTTGACTCTCATTCTAGTAGGTTGCTATCGTGTGTATGGCAAAACTGCGTTATCAGGGTCAAAACTTTTAATTTTAAAAGCTGAAGCTATACAGTTCTTTCATTATAATTTGACTGTAGAGGTCTTTCAGGATCTAGGATCCAAACTTAACAAAGTAGAGGATTGTTCAAACTAATGCCTTTATTTCCATTTCTATAAAATATAATATTATTCCTGAGAGCAGAAAAGAAGAAAAGGAAGAAAACCTTCTTGATATTCCTGCAGGATAGTTTTGTTTTTTTTTTTTAAGAATTTATTTTTTTATGGGGGGGGGAACCACAGCAGGGGGAGCAGTAGGCAGAGAGAGAAGCAGGCTCCCTGAGGAGCAAGGAGCGGGCTGGAATCATGACCTGAGCTGAAGGCATATACTCAACGAACTGAGCTACCCAGGCATCGCTACAGGATAGTGCTTGAAGCACATTCTTCCTTTCTGGAAAGTTTTCTCTCTGCAGATTTGTAACACAAAAATCTGGCAGAAAGATCAAACAATCAGGCGAATGACTGTGTCTTTTAATTAACAGTTCAGACTAAATTTTTCTATTTTTGTCTCTACTTTCATGTCTTAAATAGCGTATCAGAACTGGCACTTTCTTGGGGTAGACACCAAGTAGATGAAGTATGAGAAATGTATATTCACAGAAAGCACTGGCATATGCTGATTTTTATCATTCATTTGTAAATTAATGCCTCTCCAAACCTGAATCTCCCACATGTATTTCTATCTGAAGCTGAAACCCTTTCTCATGTCAGATTGGCAAACCTGGAATTTTCCATTGCCATGATGGCTAATTCAAAAGGCAATACAGTTCATACAATTAACTGTGTTAAGTCTCCTTGAATATGCTGTCCACTACTAGCAAATACTGCAAAATGCCTTTTCCAATATTTCACATCACTTAAACTTCTCAACCCTGGGTGATAGATTTTATTACTCAGATTTACAAATGAGGAAAACAAGACATAGACAAGTTAAGTATCTAAGGTCATTAAACTACAGAGTGGTGCTGGCGGGTTGAGAACTTGGATCATCTGACCCCAAAGTTTGGCTCAGCATCCACTGAGTGTGTGGCAATTCTCCCTAATCGCTTCTAGGTGAACTCCTAAGAACTTCCAGGAGACACCTTAAATGCCTTCAGCTGTCAATACCAAACAACTCCATCTTAGAATGAAATTTTTAAAAAAAGATTTTATTTATTTATTTGACAGAAAAAGAGGGATCACAAGTTGGCAGAGAGCAGGCAGAGAGAGAGGGGGAAGCAGGCTCCCGGCTGAGCAGAGAGCCTGATGTGGGGCTCTATCCCAGGACCCTGAGATCATGACCTGAGTGGAAGGCAGAGGATTAACCCACTGAGCCACCCAGGTGCCCCAGAATGAAAATATTTTTAAGGTAATAGCTGGTATCAGTTATTGTATAAGAAACTAATTATCCTTTCTACATCATATGTAGTAAATGTAAAAACAATGCAAAAATCCCAAGATTTCTGAACTCTCAAAGTAATCATATTTGCATTTTAACTAAATGATCTAGATTTTATGATTTCTGGATTACTGCAGACATATAAAATGAGACTTTTTGAAAGAATAATCACTTCCATTTGGAAGTCCAAAACTGTGCTCAAATATAGATGTAAATAACTAATTTCCGACTTTTGGGGGTGTGCTGGAACCCTGCAAAATAGCTTCACAAGAATCCTTTTTCCTTTACTCTATCAGTTCACCTTTGTTAACAATCTCTTCGTGAAAGTCACAAAGGCTAATGACCAACTGGAAACAAAGACTGGATCTTGAAAACATAAACAACCAAAGGATCACAAATTTGAGTTTCTAGTGGCTGGAATTTGCTACTGGATCCTTGTTAGTATAAATGTGCTTTACATACAAACTCAGTGACTTTTAGTCTCATTTATAATGTCTCAGTTGCAAATTCAACAAAAACGTAGCACAATCCAAAGATATAGGACCCCAAGAGAATTATGTAGATAATGATTATAAGATCTCTCCTCTAAAGGAACTTATAAAAGTTAGGTTTGGTTATTTGGGTAACCAAATAAGAGATAAGGGTAAATGAATCTAGTTAAAGTATTCCACTATTAAGTAAAGAGAAATGATAGGCTATCCCAGGTTTGTAATTCCTTGTGAGTTAATAGATTTAGGCATTATGCCTCAGCAGCTCTTAAGATAATAAAAAGGGAGTTGGACCTTCTGTACCTCCTGAGGGAAGACCACACCACCACTTAAAATGTTGCTAAAGAGATTGAAGCTAGATCTGACGCAGACTTGAGATCCGGCTGCCAGTTTGTAGGAAACACAGGAATATGCTGAACTGTACCAAGGTCATACAATCTGCAAAGTCCTGACTGGAAAACTCTACACGTCAAAGGGGTGAACATTTGGGTGGAGAAACCATTAAAGAAAAAAAGAAGTGAAGGTGATACTACAGAGGTTAGGATCATGGTCACTTAGAAGATGGTGGTGGCCAGGAATGATTAAGAAGGGACACTTACTTGGAAGGAGCTTCTAAGGGAAGGTATCAAAATTCTGTTTCTTGACCTGGTGATGGTTAGTTACAAGGGTGTTTTCCTTAAAATAATTTATTAAGGCGAACATTTCCTTTATAGTGTCTTCTGTTTCTGTGTTTTATTTTATGGTAAAAAGATTAAAAAAAAAAAAAAAAGAGTTGGAAGGACAGGCCAGCCCTACCCAAGAACTGAAATGCATTTTCTCCACACCTAGCTATTTGCAAATATATCTGTTTGGTTTCCTGGAACAATATTAAGGTGAAATTATTTTTAAAAGCAAAAGGCTTTAAAAAAAACCCTGAATCCTTTGAAAGACAATCCACATTGTAATACAGTTTTGAATTTTATTTAGATACTGTCTTTTTAAAAAATTTTTATTTATTTTTTTAAGGGTGAGAATTTTTTTTTAAATTTTATTTATTTATTTGACAGACAGAAATCACAAGTAGGCAGAGAGGCAGGCAGAGAGAGAGAGAGGAAGGGAAGCAGGCTCCCTGCCGAGCGGAGAGCCCGATGTGGGGCTTGATCCCAGGACCCTGGGATCATGACCTGAGCTGAAGGCAGAGGCTTAACCCACGGAGCCACCCAGGCACCCCACTGTCATTTTTTTTTTTAGAAGGTGATGGACAAGTAGGTAGTAGAGTGTGTTTTGAATGTTAGAGAAAAGGTGAATGGAATGATGAAAGATAAGGAACAATTTCTTGAGATTTAATGGTTAAATTCCAGTAATGGTCAGGAGAGTGATCTATAACTTTACCCATTGAGATTTTGCCAAGGGCAGGAGCTCCCTCCCTTGCCCACCCACATGTGAGGACAATTCATCTCAGAATTCTGTGACTTTTTAAAAGGATATAGAATGCTCAGCTTGAGATTCAAGAATCAAATAAACCTTTGTAAATAGAAGTCCTGCTGGGAGTCAGAATGGAGGAGTCAGAAAATGTAGAAATATGTTATCCTGAGGCTTCAGCAGAGGCTGAGTGTAAACTGATAATATGTTTATCTGTCATTACTCCTGT